AAATCACATCAAAGGCAGATGAAAATATAGCTCAAAAGTTTTTCCAAGGCTATGTGTGGGACAGTGTTAATTCTATGGGTTCTTTGCCAGCAATCGAATCAAGTGTTTATGCATCTCCATTTATGGATGCCCCTCCACTGTCTGAAGTGTCAACACTGACTTTGCTATCAAACAATATCTGGATTTATTTAAGATTGTGACACCAATCAAAGTGGATAAGCTAGAAACTTTGTTGATCAATTATTCAAACTGTCTTTTTGTTGACTCAGTTTTGAAAGGTCTTTGAAAAGGTTTCTGGCAAATTTTGTCTCGTCCGTCTTTGGAGGTAGTGGATGGTCCAAATCAGGTTTCTTCTGCATCTAATCAGGTTTTGCTAGCATCTCAGTTTCAAGAGGAGATCAATAGAGGCCAATATTTCAAACAATTTACAACTTTACTTCAAGGCATGAAGGTTATCCCTTTATTAATGGTAAAAAAGGAAGATTCAGACAAGATGTATGTGTGTAAAAATATGAGAGCTGGCCAACCATAACCAAATGATCTGATACAGAAAGAAGATATTACGGTTGCTTATGATTCACTGAAAACATACATTCTGTTTTTAAATGAGATGAAAAAGCAATTGGGAGAAGTCATGTTATTTAAATCAGATATTGAAGCAGCTTTTTAAATTATTCCATTACACTTTCAACATCAAATCCGACAAATTCTTTGAGTTAAAGGCAGAAACAAGAGGATTGACTATAATATGATGTTTGGCCACTCAGCATCACCTCATATTTGGTGTGGAGTATTTTCTTTAGTGCTTTGGATTTCTGAGTTTATACTTGGCATTAAGTATATGAACAACATGATGGATGATGTGTGGGGTGTTTGAGCTGCAAAACATTTTGATACCTTCAAAGATCTTTGGATTCCACTTCAGCAAGCTAAGCTTCTCAATTCATTTGACATCTTGTGATTTCCCTGGGTGTGGAAAAAACAAATTCATGGTCCTGTTTTGGAGATTATTGGACATATAATTGACTCTCAGAAGATGATCATGTGCTTGCATCCTGACAAGAAGGTTCTTTTTGGTCTAAATTCTCAAGATATTTGTGGCATCTCCTCAACATTCATTGAATGATCGGCAATTGGTCCTTGGTCATGTGTCAGGGGCTTGCACCTCAATACATGGGAAAGTTTGCTTTGCAAAGTTTAAACAAGAAATCAGGAAACAAGTCTCATGGGTTTCTTCAAATTCCATTGAATAAAGAACATTGAAATGACTTATGTTGGTTGATTGTGTTCTCCAGGAATAGTAATGGCATTCAGGTGTTAGAATATTTACATTGGGGTTTAGCAGATGCATATTCAATTTTATTTACCGACGCATGCATGGCAGGAATTGGGGTTTGGGAACCAGCTATGTGAATTGGCAAATATTTTGTTTTACCTCCTCCTTCTCACAATATTTTTTGAGCCAAATTATTAGGCATTATCATGGCAATTGATATTGGTGTTAACAACGGCTCTGAGAGGATTTTTGTTCATCCAGATAATATGAACGTGGTTGATCTCTTCAGCTCTCATACGCCAAACAAAATTGTGAGATATTTATTTCTTCACTGCGCAAAAAATTTGGTCAAGGCAAAGGTGGATGTAAAGGTCATGCACATTCCAGCCAAGTTTAATTCAGAAGCAGATAGTCTTTCATAGCAATTGAACATTCTTACACCTAAGGAGGTGACAATTCTTTGTCATGCAATTGGTGCAAGTTCTATTGATTATTTATTTATTAACCTGTCTCTCTCTTCTGGAGGAAAATATTTTCATTTATTGACTTTGGATGATTCAGTGCAAATATGGGTCAATCCGTATCAAAAAGCATGGTAGTGCAGAATCAAAAGAAAATCATTCCAAATATTGTGTTAGGAAAGTTACGGAAGTTATTGGATCCAGATTGTCTTTCAACCATTGCTCCTGTATCTCTTGATAAATGCAAATCTGGCTTCAGGGAATTTGCTGAATTTTGTTGTCATTTTAACAATCCTCTTATTCCAAACAGGCAAAATTTGTGCAATTTTGTTACTTGTTTTTCTCACATGATATCTCAAAAGAATCTAACAAAGAATATAAGAATGTCAAAAGTTTAATTCAAAACATAGAAATATGATGGTTGATCACTCATTTAAAACAGCTGGGAAATCATCCAGAAGTATGTAGTGTCAACCAAACTAGAAAAGGATGATCCATGAATCACGTGAATCTGGTCCAAGTTCTTACAGCTGTTTTGAGAAAGACTGACAACTTTTTTTTGAGAAAGCCGTCTCTGCAGCAGGTAAAATCAGAGAAAGTACTTGATCATGTACAGGTTTATTTTTTTCTGTATTTCTCCAATCAAAGGAGAGACAAAACTGGGTTCTGCATGTCAAAAAGATTTTCAAAAATCATGGATAGTGTTCACAGAGCCTGCAGAGGTACACATAATTCCATTTTCATGGGGTGAAGAGCTAGAGGTGCAGATACATAGAGAAATAAATCACCTGTGTCAGATTGCGTACACATTTCGCAGGTATACTGAGTTCAGAGTGGCGAATACAGAGATAATCAGAGTTGTCACTCTTTTCACTCCACCACTTGAATCTGTTGAGATTCAATGGACACAAGCATAAATGTGTTTCCTCCTAGATTATGCTTATAGTAGATTTAACCCAATCTTTGTACATTTGTATACAACAACAAGTTATCATTCACCAGTCTTGTTTTCCCCATCATTGAAAAGAAGACTGAGTGATATTTTTTCTTTTTTCTTTTTTCTTCTTTCTTGATCTTTGTGACTTTGTATAATCTATGTTATTTTCTCATAGTCTTAGTTACCATCTTTATCAGACCCAGGATAAGACTTTGAACTTATTTGTCCTTCCCAACTTAGACCGTCTTCCAAGACTTTCACAGAATCACTTCCACCATCTGCACTCTCAAAATCTTTCTAATCCTCATTGAGAGATTTTTTTGCTTTCAAAACCCACCTGCCTCCCGGGTTGAGAAGGCTTTTCTTCTCAAGGCTGTTCTTGTCCAAAGGGGTAAGGGATGAGGGTTGGTGGAGACCAACCTTCCTACACTTCCTTACCTTTGGGACCACCCCCAAACCACAACCATGTAGGATGCGGGTCTACTTATGTAGGGCTCTGTTTGAGAGTTAAGAACAAGGAATTGTTCCAATCCTACACGTACTCATTAAGGCCACTCTAGTGCACCTTACCTGTAACACACCTCACGAGAAATGGAATCTTTAAGTTGAAACAGTTGTATATTTCAGATTAGAAATGCAAAGAGACCAATATAATGTGATAACAATGGAGTAATTATTGGACCTCAAAAACAATAGATAACACTTGACTCATTAGGTTGTAAACTGGATTAAACATGATGATGGAGTACGGAGACTATACGCTGTAAGGTTGAACAAAAATATTTCTATGCGCAATTAGGTAAAGCAGTGTTGAAGGTGATCTACATAATAATACAAGTATTTTGCACTACCTGATATATCTTCCTTGGAATATTCGCTGCGTTGTCACGTAGATATCATATTTTCCTCACTTTTCCTATCCGCCCTCAGCATTTCCTCAAAATTGCGATAAGTGTGTGTCTTTGATCATGAAATCCACATACAGTACCCGAGTTTCAAGGTTCCGAAGAGCTTCCTTGAAATTGCCATTATGATCCCAAGACTTTGCAAATGGGATGTGTTCCCAGAGCCCGCGGAGGTACCCTACATTCCATTTCTAGGGAGTGTGGGTTGAGAGCGACAGTAGCGGACGTGAGAGGACTCTCTTGTGACAAGTGTACGTACACATGTCACAGGGTGGTAGAGTCGAAGATGTGGAGTAGAGAGAAACAAAGTTTTTATCTCTCTACTCCACCACATCCTCTCTCTCATAGTCCGCTCTCTGAAGATCTTTAGAGACTCTCACGCTCTAGATCCCTCAGTAGAATTTTTTGAACCCACCCACCACCCGGGGTCGAGAAGTCTAACTTCTCAGGCACTGTCCTCACGTCGCGGGGCTCGGGATTGGGGTTAAGGTAGACACCTGAGACCCCTTTCCTCCGACTCCTGGGACCCACCCCAAACCACACCCAGAGTAGGATGCTGGTCCGTAAGGATGGTATTGTACTTGTGGTAGGGCAGTTCCTCGAGATAGGAAACTTACTACGGAGATATTCCTGAAGGGGATTCCCGGAGAAGATAACAAACCTTATCCCGTCAGGAATAAGGTTGTCAGTGGACACTTACGTGTTCCACTTAGCTCCCAACACACCTTACGAATAAATGGATTGAACTATCTCCTGGTTAAACATCGCGAAGGCCTGAGTCTGACGGGCGGAAAGCTTCTCTGGGTCTGGCTTGTAGGCGACAAGATAGTGGTATAGCATCATATCACCCGTCTTGAAAGCTATGAGGTGAAGGATGTATTCGGCAAGCATGACATTTGTCTCGTCGTTTTGCTCGAATATTTTGGCCTCCGACGCCTTCTTGAAAATCCTATATAACATAGCAGTGAGGACAGGTTGTTTCGAAAATCCACGCAAATTGTCGGAATCGTTAGCAGTTTCGCTCTTTGAAAGCACCCCCTTGGCTACCAGAGCCTCTGCAAGAGTGCTTCTATACTTCTTTGCTATAGGAGCTTCATCTACAATGAATGCAAAACCGAATGGTGATGAGTAATTGATATAGCATCCTCGAGTCACCTGTGTGTACTCAATTGCACCAAATGTATTGGATGATACAGACATGTGTATCATCCAATGGGGTCCGTAGGCAAGCAGGTAGAATCCTGTAGCCTGTAGCTGGAGCTAGGGTCACCTAGAAATCTCTCTAAGTCCCCATATCTACAAGGGGGGGGCCTTGCCCCCCTACGCATCACTGCACAGCCATGACTACCATAGCAACAATTCTCACTACCTCAGCCAATTAATGACTCCTCAAATCTCATATCTCACTACCCTTTAAAACTATGCAGACTCGAGTCACCCCTTACTCTCTCAATACACATCTCCCTACTCCAGTATGTTTATGACTACCTCAGTCACACTTATCACTACCTATTCCATCTTCTCACTACCCCAGCCAATTCATAACTCCTCAAATCTCATATCTCACTACCTTTCAAAAGTATGCAGACTTCAGTCACTCCCCTTACTCCCTCAAAACATATCTCCCTACTTCAGTATTTTCATGACTACCTCAGTCACACTTATCACTCCCTGTTCCATTTTTTCACGACCACAGCTACCCTGTGCCTCCCTCAACTTTGAACCAACTAAGCCCCATTACTGCCTTAACGCATAGATCACAACCTAATCAAAATGATAACTACCCAATTACCTTTATCACAATCACAAGGATTACACATCATTACCTCTTAAGATGGGTCAAAAACATAAATCATAACCCAGGATTCAAAAACATCCACCAGAAGCGCCCATCAACCCATCCTCACCCCTCTCTGCTCACTTTACCCCAGCGCACCATGCCCACTCGATCTGGACTACAAAGACTCCCAGTCACCACTCCTCACTCCGAACCTGACTCTGACACAGACTCCACTTACAAAGCCATCAATCCCACTACCAAACGTAACCGCACTGCAACCACAGCAAGACGAGGTCGAGCAGGGCGAGGGCAAGGAGGGAAAGTCCCATCAACATCGAACCGTCCCACCAAGAGGCCTCGACAAGCTGAGGCCACTCTCACCCCTGAGGAACTCGAACTTGACACCCCTTCTGACTCACAGACTCCCACTCTCATCAACTACCGCCAGTTGGGGCTTCAGTGGGGACGGTCCGTCGCCGAACAGAACTTAGCATCTCTCGACCTCCCCGAAAACAATCGCCCTTCAACCAATGGTCTCTTCGAAGCGCAAGCTCTACAATCTCAGTATGACCTGGATAAGACAATGTTGTGCATTGTCCTGAAATGCAGCCGCAAAGTACTTGATGAAGCACTGTAAGTTCATTTAACCCATCATGCCATCGCCGCACAAATCCACATCACAACTCACTTTGCAGTGTATCACCCAGGCTCGAGGGACCTCTTGCCCGCGAGCCCAACATGTACACCAACTACCAAACATATGGTGTTGTTGCAACCACCACAGCCAGTAAGCCCATCCAAATCACATGTAAGAAGCGTCACTGCTGATGCCTAACATTCTGTAGTGCCGCCCAAAGGTGTTGCTGAAGGCTTCACAGAAAGGAACCAAATAGTTGGCCACACTTGGAGTGCGTATGAAGAAGATGAACAAGCAATCTTCACACCTCGCCTATTCGAACCCCTGTGCGTTGCCACCCACGAGGCTTATGCACTCACCCAAACCCCATCCCAACTCGACACCACTTCCACTTCCCAACCCCCCCAGCCTCAGCCTGATGTTGGCCAACCAGGAGTCGCCAAAATCACCAAGGAAGAGCTTGAAAAATATGTACCAATATTCCAGCGGCTGGTCAACTTGAACAAGGTATCACATGACATGCATGACGGACGTTTATGGCGCCACAGTGGCAAAAAACGAACTCAATCATTAGAAAACCTCCTCATGCATGAAATAGGAAAAGTGGTTTGACAAGTAAGTCCTTCAATTCAATATACTCACCCCTTTGAGAGTTGACCTTATCCCCCTGAAATTCCAGCTCCACGTTCTCAAAAACCATTTTAACCTCCACTTTCACCTCCTCTTGGCATGCTTCGTAGTATAAGACAGGCCTGTCAAAGGTTGTAGCTATGACACCACCCCAACCAGGCATGCTGAGCCAATATTGTTGCTCGGAGGTGACATTTGGTTTAGTGGTGGCGAGCCGAGCCAAAGCCGCGGTTCGGCTTTCATGGAAGGAGGTGCGAGTGAATACATTTGGCATGTTGCTGAAGGTCTCATGCATCCTTTGTCGAATGTCGGACCAAGCATCCTGAGATTGGCCCAATGAGACAGCAATTGACCGGAATCCGCAGTGACCGTCTCCTCGGACTTCTCGCACATCGATAACGTAGGGTTTGAGCCAATCATGTATCTGGTACTTGGCTAGAAGGGCTGGCAGGGCTGGATTGACGATGCTCGACTTCTGTAGTATGGCCTCCTCCCTGGCCCTTTTGCGAGTGACCCTAGCAAGAGTTGGTGATTTTTTGGTGGGTTCGTTTGGTGACTTCGGAGGTCGCTGAGGTGTTTTTTTGAAGTTATTGTGGGTGTGGGGCCCGGATTCGGTTTGGCACTCAGGAGGCGAAGTGATTGAGCCTGGATGATGTGATGTGTTGGGGCCTACCAGATCTTCAGGGTCCAGAAAAGCGTGGGTTGCTGGTTTTGATGTTGGAAGGGAAAGCAGGGGTGAAGGTGGCCGAGGGTGGGTAGATTGCGAGGGCTGAGTGATGAGATCGTCGAGGTTAAATGTGGACTCAGTGGTGTCAGGTAAGCCCTGGAGGTCGTTGAATAGCCGATCGATCTGAAGATCAAATTTCTGCATCAAGATGTCTTTGCCTTCTGAAGTGGGATGCAGATGAGTAAGACTCACCGATGCATACGATCCCTCTGGGGATCGAACTGGTTCCTCGCTGCTCATGAGGCCTATGTGAGGGGTGGCTTCAAAATGTGCGTGGTAAATGTTGGCCTGCAGTAAAGGTTGGAATGTAAGCAAGGTACCTCGAGTTACTTATCTTGGAACAGGGTGCTTACAGATACTTGTTGTTCACAGGTGAACGAGGTGGGAAGGTTTGGGATGTTGGGTTTGGTGATCGAGGGTACATGTGGCCCTTTGGGAAGGCTTGCTAGGTCACTCAAGATCGCATCAATCAAAGTTAATGCTTTGTGTTGACGGGCTGGTGACATGGCTTGTAGGCGTCTAGGTATATTGGTGATCATTGACTCAATGGGGTCGGTTGTGATGCTAGAGACCGTTGGATGCATACTGATGACATCAGGCCTGGTGGAGGCCTGGTTAAGCTGGATGTCGAAGGATGGTGAGGTTTCAACTTGGTCGAGGGGGAGGAGACTAGTCTTGGTGTGATCACTATGGCTGGTTCCTTGGATTTTGGTACTGTTCTTTAGCGTAGTAGCCTTTCTTGGCTTTCTTGGTTTAAGTTCGTGATCGGGGGGGTGGTTGTGCCCAAGGTGCGTGTGGATAAGTAGCCAGGCATCGTGGTGGGGTAGGTATCGTGCATTGAGTTTGAATGGACAGCCGATGCGAACTGATTTTTTAGTCCCTGTGCTGGGAAATCCGCCTCGATAGCAGTGGTAGTGAATGAATTGGCTGCCCTCCTTGGAGTTACCAATTCGGATTCGGTACCCATGTTGGGTGGCGTTGAAGTCCTTCACATAGTGGTCCATATTTGACCGGTCAGAGCCAGGAAGTCAATGACATTTGGTACTGGAAAGACGAACTCCTGCAGTGCTGAGCTATCTTCCATTGGTATAAGGAGTAAAAAGGTGAGGTAAGGCCTAGTCGACTTATTGAGTATGTCTTTGAATGTAGCTGGTAATAGTGGGTGTGGGAATTGAGGGAGTGAGTCGTGGATGTTGAGTAGTAAGCGTAAGGATTTTGAGTTCGTAGTCGAGTGAGGTAGTTAGCTCATATGTTGAGGGAGGCATGGGTAGGTTGAAGTCCTTGAGTTATGGTTTTGATTAAGATCATAACTACCTTAGGTCATGGTACAGGTGTTGAGGTAGTTATGATTGTGATGGAGTAGTTAGGCCAAAGTTGAGAGAGCCATGGGTAAATTGAAGTAGTGAGATGTTTAATTGGGTAGTCATGGATTGGAAGAGGTAGTGATGAGTGTGACTGAGGTAGTCATAAACATACTGAAGTAGGGAGATGTGTATTGAGAGAGTAAGGGGAGTGACTCGAGTCTGCATAGTTTTAAAGGGTAGTGAGATATGAGATTTGAGGAGTCATGAATTAGCTGAGGTAGTGAGAGGTTTTGTTATGGTAGTCATGGCTGTGCAGTGATGCGCAGGGGGGCAAGGCCCCCCCCTTGTAGATATGGGGACTTAGAGAGATTTCTAGGTGACCCTAGCTCCAGCTACAAGCTACAGGATTCTACCTGCTTGCCTACGGACCCCATTGGATGATACACATGTCTGTATCATCCAATACATTTGGTGCAATTGAGTACACACAGGTGCCTCGAGTGACCATTCAAATCGACTTACTTTCAATATAGATAAGATACTCTAGAGAATCCCACGTAAATGACTGCGGGTCCAATTGTCCATAACGACGCTGTGTTAGCATCTTGAAGAGCTTTGGCACAATTTCGGAGTGTCCATTGAGTTGGACGTGGAAGTCCGTATAAATTGCCCGGTTTCTATTGATTACTAAGTTAAGTGCTCTAAATAATCTTCCTAGTTGAGGTATCGATATCTGCTCGTGTTCTAAGCTTTGCAAGAGCCTGGTGATTTGGAGTAAATTGATAGTTTTTGTGTTTCGAAATTCTGTTAAAAGACTTTTGAACGGTGGAGCTAGCTTCTCGTCTGCAAGTTGGAAACTTATGTCACTCTCTAGTATCTTCTCTTGAACCCTTCCCGAATTGATCGATTTTTTGAATCGTAGATAGCTCTCATCATGATATTCCTCAAGATGTAACAGTAATCGAACCGTGTTTGTCTCCTCATCAAAGCCATTCTGTGGTATATTCTGACGACCCAAATGTTTTACAATCAATTGCATCAATGATGAAGCTTGTTCAGAATGTATGGGAGCTCCCAAGTTAATGAACGTGAGATAAAGTCGTTGAAAATCTGCTGATGGGCCATTGCGGGACATGCGCCACTGTTCTTCGATTAGATGCACAATTGTTTCCCTTTGAATTGCTTCCTGAATGACTGGGATGGACAGAAAATGATTAGAAACCGCATATATATCACTTAATGCTCGACACTTACCATATTCTGATGTCTCCAGTTTGGAAGGGACTTCTGACCACATTTCCTGAGCAACTTTCCCCAAGTCTTTGTCTGATCAAAGACATTTGCATGCAAACAAATCAGGTCCTTAGCAATTGGGAGATTATCACATCCAAAGTTCGGATCACTGACCTCGCATGAAAAAGAGTAAAAACTGTCCCCGAGACCTGTTCAAATCCTCAGCTTTCCAGGAACCAGGAATGGCATACTGTGCAGATTTTCTATCCTTCTCCGGAAGTCGAGACTTCAGGTATGACAGTACTGTAAGACTCTCGAGAGGGAGTCTTCACTGGATAAGGCACAGGAGCAACACGGCTCGGAGGGTTATTCTAGAACCCGACTATAGATTTCCCAAAGACACAACTAGCTCCATCCGAAGAGTATTCGGTCAAGAAGAAACAATCAGAACATAGACTCTAACCAGAATGAAAAGAGATAACTAATATAGTGAAATGAGATAACTGATAAAGTGAAATGATATGCTCACCTAGCTCCATCCGAAGAGTATTCGGTGAAGAAGAGTCTTCTGGAGCTAGGGCAACGTGTCTAGTATATAATGCACCTGTCTACACCCATAATGTATGTATTCCGTCGCTATGTAACCCTTACATCCCTCCCCTTCTAAAAAAAAATATGTGTGATCCTAAGGTTTCGTAAAGAAAAGAAAAAAAACAATGGCATAACTCGCCCCTAAAAATTGACATGACTCGTCCCAACGCAAAGAAAATCAAATTTAAATGAGTCGTAATTGAAAAAAAGAAAAAAATTGAGAGAAAAAATTTTTAAATGGCTTGAGATGAATAAGAGAAAGAGATGTTAAATAAGCTATTTGAATCTTGAGGTGAATCATCTTGAAGTGAATTATCTTGAAGTGAATTATCTTGAAGTAGGTTATCTTGCATTGCATTCGTAGTGTCTTGCCGTCTTGAGTATTTTTCGTAACATCGTCGTTATGCCATCTGAAATGCAAACCAAGTCCAAATTGGATGCTCACATGTGTGGCCAAGGTATTGTTTTGACAAAAATTTATAGCGGCCTTGGCGGTGCATACTAAGTGGGAGGACTTACTTTTGGCCCTCTGAGCCTTGATCTACCTCCCTCCAACGATACTTCTTGAGCTTTGAGATGTGAAATACGTCGTGTGATCGGTCGTCTTCGTTCAACCTTAACCTGAAGTTGCGACCATCGTTAAGTGCTTCGATGACTTCGTATGGTCCATCGTATCGAGGCCTCAACTTTGATGTAGGTCGACCGTCACCTCCAACTATCTGCTGCCTATCCTTACTGTCTACTAATACCCAGTCTCCGACTGATAATGAATCACCTTGTCTTCGTCGACTGTTGTAGTGTACTGCCTGGGTTATTCGACTCGCCCACAACTTGTCGCGATATTGCGCCCATGCTGATTGACGGTGTTCAATCCATTTTGACACATTGCTTCCAACGTCATCAAGTTGACCTCCGACGGGGAATAGTCTTGGTTTTCGCCCATAAACAAACTCGAAGGGGGATACTCCTGTCGACACGTTGAGCGCGCTGTTGATGGCGAACTCAACTGCGGGTAGTGCGTCAAACCATTTGCCGTGTCGATTACCAACCAAGTGACGCAAAATTTGGACAATTGTTTTGTTCGACTTTTCACTTCTACCGTCTGCTTGGGGGTGGTAGGATGTTGTCAGATTCACATTCACATGCATTAACAGGTTGAGCTCTCGCCAAAATTTGGATGTCCAAGTCTTGTCGCGATCTCCAATCATGCTTCGAGGTGCCCCAAAGATCGCGAGCCAAGCGCCAAAAAGTCTTTGGGCCGTTCTTTCTGTTGAATCTGTTTGACAAACTGGGATTGCTTGGGTGAAGCCTGTCAGTCGGCATGTACATGAGAGAATCATGTCGTATCCCCGAACCTTTGGAAATGGTCCAATGAAATCAAGGGCTATATCTTCCATTGGCTGCCTAGGAACTTCGGTGGCTTGCAATCGACCTGACGGTAGTGTTGTTCGGGCTTTCAGTCTTTGACAGCTGTCGCAGGAACTCACAAATTCTTTGACTAGGGATGACATCTCCGGCCAAAAGAATTGCTCTCGAAGTTGTGCCAGAGTTTTCAATGTTCCTAGATGGCCTAGGGAAGCGTGCGCTTGCTCCATTAATTGTTGCCGTAGGTTGCCTGTTGCTGGTATGACTAAGCGTTCATCAACGTAGATCAAGGCGCCTCTCCATTCAGTCCTTTGTCGTAATGGAAGTGTTTTCTGGATCTTCATGCAGAATGGGTCGCTATTGTAGCCATCTTGGATCAGTTGAATCGTGTCCTTGTCGAGCGAGGCAGCTATTTGACATGCTGAGACTTCCTCGCTCCTCGAGAGTGCATCCGCTACGCTATTATCTTCTCCCTTGATGTAATTAAATTTCAAATCAAACTGAGATAGCGTTTCCAGCCATCTTGCTTGTCTGCGGCTAAGATTTCTCTGAGTTAACAGGTGTGTCAATGAATGGTGGTCGGACATTACGTTCACCCTCAAGCCTAATAATAGCAACTTCCACTTTTGCAACGCATTGACTACAGCAAGTAGCTCTTGCTCGTGTACCGGGTAGTTTCTTTCTGCCGGTGACATCGTTCGACTCTCGTACGCTATTGGTGATGATTGGTCCCACTTTGCACCTTGGAACAAGGCTGCTCCAAGGCCATGACCGCTGGCATCGGTGAATAGCCAGATCGGTTCGTCTGAGTCGTAGTCCATTTGTCGCAGTACTGGCAAGGTTGTTATGATCTTCTTGATATTCTCAAATGCCTCATCCTCCTTTTTTCCCCACTTGAAGGGCTCGTTTTTTCGTCTTGTGCTTGTCAATGGCGAAAGAGTGCCAACGTAATGTGCCAATCCATCAATGAATTTTTTCAAAAACTGTACGGTACCTAAAAATTTCAGTAGCTGCTTTTGTGATCCTGGTGTCTTCCATTTTGATATCTTTTCGACTTTTGCATCGTCTGGGCATACTCCATCTGCACTAATTTCATGACCTAGAAAGTTAATCTTCTGACGAAAAAGTTTGCTCTTTGTTGGTGAGCAGTATAAGTTTGCTGCTTTCAGACGCTTCAACACTTCCCTCACGTGTACTTCATGCTCCTCTACTGATTTTGAAAATACTACCACATCATCAATGTATACCACACAATAAGTTCCTATGATGTCCCCTAACGCCTCCTCCACTCTGCTTTGATGAGTTGCCGGCCCATTTGTTAATCCCATCGCCATAACTGTCCATTCAAATAATCCAAACGGCGTCTTGACTGCGGTTAAAGGGATGTCTTCTTCTCGCATCCTTGTTTGAAAGAAGGAGTTAATCTGGTCAATGATTGAGAAGATGCTACCTGTACTGACTAGCCGGACTGCCTCGTCCACATTTGGCAAGGGACTTCTGTCCTTGACGGTGTATTTGTTTAGTTTCCTGTAGTCGCACACCCAGCGTGGTAAGGCGTTCGGGTCCTTTTTGGGAATTATCATGGACGGCGAGGCGTATTGGCTTGTTGACTTTCGGATTCGACCTGCTTTCAGATGCTGATCAATGAGTTTTTTCCACGCAGGGAGGTACTTCTGCGGGTAGTTGTACTGCTTTTCGTTGATCACAACATTTGGATCTGTGAGTACAATGCGGTGTCTGACTTTTGACGCCACATTCTGCCCTTCAGGCGGAATGAAGTCATCTGGTTCATCATCCTCGACTGCTGGTAATTCATCTGGGAACAGTTCTGCGAATTCATTCAAGACTCTCTCTTCTCTCGCCGTCAGGTCACGTTTTTCTTTCACTCGTTCCAGGTTTTGCATGACACATGATACCATTGACTTTGTCATGACAGACGTAATTTCATTTTTCACAGATTGTTCAATAAGTATCGTCTTAGTAGGTACATGGATGACTGTGCGGTTCCTGAGTGATACATCTAAATGAAACTTTTCCAAGAAGGGGTGTACCCAAGATGACATCGTATGTTGAACCCAATGGTGCGATTTAAAAAGGTGAG